AGATTAATTTGCTGTGAGTAATGTTCAAGATTTAACTGGAGGACACATTATGCATCAAAATAAAAAAATAAATTTAATTAAAGAAAGGATTTTTAATTTTCTTTGTCACTCAGTTTCATAGTTTGTTTTTGTCAAAATGTATAAAAAGTAGATACCTAGAGTGTATTGGTAGAATGGTATACATTATTTTTTAGGAATCACTATCTTTTAAAGTTTATCAAACAATGGAAGCAATGGTCCATTATATAAATTGTATAAAATAATACTGAATTTTGAATTGAATAATTGTATGTATTTTGATGTGTTTTAAAAATTAAAACTGTTATACTAAATTAGTGAAATGTTTGCCTCATTTTAACATAGTTGGAAAAGCTTTCCAAATGATTTGATATTTAGGATTCATGTTTAAAAAAATATTTTCAACATATTAAAATATCAAAATACACATATATCAATGTATATATTTTAAAAAATAACATATTACAAAATATAAATACTTTTCATAATATAAAATAATTTTAAAAATGCATCCAAAAGATATTACATCAGTAAATTATTATTATTATTATTATTATTGCCATTTATATAGCGCCAACAGATTCCGTAGCGCTTTACAATATTTTGAGAGGGGGGGATGTAACAATAAATAGGACAATTACAAGAAAACTTACAGGAACAATAGGTTGAAGAGGACCCTGCTCAAACGAGCTTACAGACTATAGGAGGTGGGGTATTAGAAACATTAGGACAAGAAATATCAAGTAGGAGTGAAGCAGAGCTGGAGGAGAGAGCAACGCACTGTCCCATAGGAGAGAGCGGGAGACAGGTATGTAAGGTAGAGATTACTCTGGGAGACCATAAGCTTTCCTGAAGAGATGGTTTTTAAGGCCCTTCTTAAATGATTGAAGACTAGGGGAGAGTCTGATGGCAGAAGGCAAGCTATTCCATAGGAGAGGAGCCGCCCGCGAGAGGTCCTGCAAGCGCGAGTTGGCCGTACGGGTGCGAGCAACGGTCAGGAGGTGGTCACGGATAGAGCGGAGGGTACGAGGAGGGGCATATCTATGGATTAGTGAAGAGATATAAGTGGGGCTAGAATTGTTCAGTGCTTTAAATGTATGGGTTAGCATTTTGAATCGACTCCTATAGCATACAGGGAGCCAATGTAAGGACTGGCAGAGGGGTGAGGTGTGAGAGGACCGACTAGAGAGGAAAATCAGTCTAGCTGCAGCATTCATTACAGACTGTAGCGGGGCAATACGGCTTTTGGGGAGACCAATCAGGAGAGGGTTACAGTAATCCATGCGGGAAATTACTAGAGCATGGACAAGCTCCTTGGTAGCATCTTGCATAAGAAAGGGGCGAATGAGGGCTATGTTTTTGAGTTGGAACCTACAGGATCAAGACCTTTGTCATAAAACAATATTTGGCATCTAAAATGCTCTGCTGCAGACTTGCAAAATGTGTTCTAGGGACCACTAGATTAGCTTGCAGCAATGGATAATTCACCTAGAGCTAAAAAGAGTCTTTGATTTGTTATTATAAAGAGGATGAAAGAATGTTTAAATACTAGAATTTCAATTTTCTCTAATTTTACATTAAAGGGACTCTTTATACACTGTAGTCACTTCATCTCATTGCAATGGTTATAGTGTCTGGAGTCCCCTGGCGCAGTCCCTCCATCCAGAATTAAAATATTTTTTAATTGTTGAACTCTCAATGCAAGTCCCTGGCAGCCCAAACATGCTGTGCTGCTTAGTCCAATGAAGAAGCATTAGTCTGAGCAGTGATCGACAGAGTGTCAGCTGTACACATTCTTTCACATTTCTGCCCATTTCTGGTATAAATTGGTAACTGCTAAGGTAGAGTGTAAACTCTACTTTAGCCATACCTGTAGACAGCCAGGATCTTCCAATGTTAAACTGTTCAAATACGGTTTAAACTGAACAGGACAGCACAAAAAGACTCCACGCACTATAAACAATTCGATGAGATGTAACGGTTACAAAGCTTAAAGTGTCCCTTTAAATAGATGTTTCATGCAGTATTACAGAAAGTTTGAAAAGCTAATGTTACAATCTGACCCACAATAACCCCAGACAGATATGAACCAGGAGCTTTTCAGAGAATTGTGTCACTAATAGAATCCAAGCGTACGTCTGTCACAAAATCAAGGAATGTTGGGAGTAAATAAACAAAATTATTACTTTACAGACATGTTAGTAGAGATCTGGAACATCCTTACAATTATTACAACTTGAAAATAAAAATTATTGGAACATGAAACACACAAAAAAGGTTTAATATTTAAAAATGTTCACATTGGATGGGTCATTTGGTTGTTATGTGCCATTTCATTCTTTGTTTCTAGGTTTCTATGACTCGCCAAATGTTTTTATCCTCCAGTAACACTACTGATGATTTATTTAATGGCTAAATAGTGCTCAGTAAAGTGCCAATCTTCCCAGCTGTTGAGCAGTTGATTGATAGGCATTGTACTGTTTTCTTACCCCAGCATACATAATGCTATGAGTGATTTTAGAAATGTTGCTCATGGTGTTAAAATGTACTGTATGTGAATCTCTTTCTCACACGCTATACATATGCATGTTAACAGAGAGTTTCAGGCTTAGGAAATACACTTTTTTTTTTTTTTTTATCTGACCAACATCATTTAACAGCCAGAATTAAACACATAGGATAGTCTAATCTGTGACACATGGGTTAATACATACAGAACAGAAGCTACATGTTTTTGTGCATTCAGTTTTGGTGGTCGTAAAAAATTCTTCGAATGGATAAAGGACAGTAAAAAAAGCGCATTGCTAAAATTACCATTAGCCTTATGTAGGGGTAAGATACACCAACACATTGTTGTTTGTGGAATCCATTTAAACAGTGTTCTGAATGCACAATAGCAGTCCTTCTCCACATACACATGAACACACATTTGTACATAATACAGATTAAGGAATGACACACACAAATAAAAATAAATTTAAAAAAATGCAGTTTGCATTTTACCAGGCTATTTAAAATCACTGATCTTAGCAAACAAATAAGGGAATCCAGTAACACCATATGGCCATATTGTGTTAAGCCCACCAATACATCACAGTACCCCAATATCAGTGGATCCTACACTAATTTTAACGCGAGAGATTAACATGCCGACTGCAATACTTACTGCTTACACTGCTTCCAGAGAGTCTCATCAATTAATGTCTTCTTGTGGTCATCTCTAAAGGGGCACCCATAGTGAATGGGTGGGGTGCTCAGTTCAAAATCTATACAGAAAAATGTAGAATTGGGGGCACACGCAACACATGCATTTATCAGTAGTGGTGCTGCTGTAAAGCCCAAAATGTATACAAAATACAGATTAGGGAACAGCGCGCACAAAAAAAAAAAAAAAAAACGGTTTATATTTTTTAAGGTTACTTAAAATCATCTATATTAGCAAACTGATATTGGGGTACTGTGACATAGTGGTGGGCTTAACACAATATGGTCCATATGGTGTAACTGAATCCCCATATTTGTTTGCTAAGATAGGTGTTTTTTAGCAGACTGGTAAAATTCTAACTGTATTTTTATTTTTGTGTGTCTGTGCTGTTGTGTGTCTAATCTGTATTTTGTATATATTTTGGTGTTTATGTCAGCACCACTATTTAAAAAAAATGTATGTTCCCGGCGTACCCCAATTTCCCTTTTTATACATACATACATACATACATGTTTGTATGTCCACAAGCAGGTCATGATTTAAAATTTTATACCATGACTAACACAATGCAGTATGGAGGCCCTAATCTCAGTGCATAAATGTTCATGCTTTCCAAATATTAATTGGGTACACACTACTTGGAGCTGCTGACATTTTGATTCAGTTTGGTCACAATAATGATATGGCTGGAGAGGAGCTGAGGAGACAGAACCAGAGAGATACTGTTTCCCCAAGCCCTCTCATACTATGCTTTTATTCATATCGGAGCTTGGCTGCAAACAGAATTACTCATAATACAGAGTTTACTTTTATGTATACTTTATCTCTCTCAGTTCATACTACTGCAGCACTCTTTATGAACATCGTGGAAAGTGTCTTAATATGTCATAGTGTTTTGCCTTTTTCTTTTTAAAATATTCACAAAGATGTTCAATAGGGTTGAGGTCCTGTCAGGCCATATTCTGAGGGGTGCGGAGCCTAGCGCTGAACCCCCCTCGCCTATTTACACAGCAACTGGGCAGGCCACAACCCCTCTCAAGATCGGACTTAGGTCCAGTGACTGTGGAGGGAAATCCATACACATTTTTTACTCCTTGCTTTTCTTTCAGATACATCTGGCACAGCTCAGTGTGTCTTTTGGATCATTGTCTTTCTGGAACATTTATTTTCTTCCAAACAACTTTTAGGCAGAAAGGATGAAGTGCAGTGACAGAATAGATTGGTACTTCTCTTTGGTCCAACTGTAGTTGAACTCATTGTATTTCAAACCCTACCTCCAGCATTTAACAAAACTCAATCCTCAACATACTTCAAAGAAGAACTAAAGCCATAGCTGTTAAAATGTAGCACTAAAGAGTTATACATTGTTCTGTTTATTAAACCCTTAGATGTGCCTAACACAACACTTCCCTTCTTATTTACTTCTGTCTGCCTCTCATTACCTTTATGTTGTAAGCCCTAGGGAACAAAACAGCCAAGTTATCTATGTTGTGAATTTTACCAATATTATGATGTTTCTACTAGGTTTCAGATATGTTGTCTCCTCCGTAAAGAAGCCTGTTAGTATGTTCTTTAGGCTTTATCATCATGCAGAACATGTTTACTTTTTATCAAGTTCTTCATATTCTAAATGAGGCGTTTATCAAAAGCACATGTCCAGGACTTGCGCACAAACTC